GTTTTTTTGGTTGGTTGGTTTGGGTTTTTTTACCTCCAGAGCCAACTGCTGCACCTGGCCAGCTCCATGAACACGCAGAAGGGAAAATATCAACTTAAAGTGACCTATGCATTCACACTCAGAACCTGCAAGAGACCAAATACGTTATTCTCTCCATGTTAGCCAAAGCATTCACTGAAGGCCATCCCAAGCACGCATTTCACTGCACAGAGAGGCGTTGAAGACTACATGTCTGTATATAGTCTGCCACAGTAGTTACAGCAGCTCCTACAGGACAGCACCTGCTACAGAATTAGAAAGTTGTGAAGTTCTATCTAGTAACCTAGCTTCCACAAAATCTCCGGTCAACAGTATTTCAAAAGAAGAGGATACTTCCTAGCTCTAAGGCAAGTAACTGAACTAGTTCTTGGACGACCTAGTTACCTGCATTCCTACAAGACAACTAAGCAAGTTCAGTTATTTTATTTGTCATTGGTTAACAGTACTTCTTGTCTTCAAATACATGTGCCCTGATTCTCTCATCTCAGCAGGGTTGCTGTCTGCATCAATCACAGCCACCTTTAGGGTTATAATTGCCAAATACAGATAATCCAGTCTGAGAGCAACCCAACCACCTATTATTAGAAGCTATGATAGTAACATGAGTTGGTTTTAGAGCTAACATAGGAAGGAAACGTAGGAAAACATCCTAATCATGTATCTTGGGCTTTCAGTCTGTACACTATCTGCTCACAAATCTTTGCTTGTATTAGGTACCCACTCTCAAGAGCAAGTTCTCTTCTGGCTTTAGTAAGGTGTTTACTAGTATGCAGTACTCAGCTCAAGGGGGTTCTTTTTTGTTTGTTTGATGCAAGGAAAATCTTAACAGCAGCTGGAATTCTTTGAAGGATTACAGAAAGCTTCATCCAAGAGGTTTAAGTCTTCCTGGCAACAGCAGGCTAGACTGAGAGTTAAAACCTAGTGTTTCAGGGAAGAAAATAGATAAGGCTTGGATTTCACACAAAACTTGAACACATCTACTGATCATGCTCTCCAGGGGAAAAAAAAAAAAAAAAAAAAAGGAAAGCTAGCCTATATGGCTTATCAACAATGCTAAAGTCTGCTAGCCAGCAAAACAAGCTTCCTTCTCGCTGGAAAATACAGAGGTCCATGTTCTCTAAGGTTGTCCACAAGAAAGCCTATCAGGGCTAAGTTCATTTTGGGGCTTACCTGGGTTGTGTTTTATCACGTTTCTCAGAGCCTCCAGGGCCATTTCAACTCTCCGTAACCGATCTCCATGTTGATTGGACTCTACTTTCCCAGTCTGTGTTATTGCCATCAGGGTATGAAGGTACTGTGCTTGTGAGCCTATGTAATCCAAGAGGCTTGCAGCAAATGCTTTAGGAAGCTTTAAATTAGAGATGAGAATATTTTTAGCTGTGTGACGCAACAGTATTCACATTAGGAAAAGTTATTTGGATGCACTTTCTTCTACATTTCACATAGCCCTTCTTCGAAACAGGCAGAGAGGAAACACTCTCCTACTGTGATCACTATAGTATCTGGAGCACATTAACCCTGTTTATATCCAAACATACCCTTAGAAAGTTGCCACTACTTTAAACAGCATTCTTAAGGTGTGTGTTTATCCATATAGATATGGATGGACAGCAAAGCCACTAGGCAGAATCACTACCCCCTGGAATTGCTGAATAAATCTTGAGTGTCTGCAGTGCAAGCTTGTAGGAAAACGGCATTAAGCCATACAAAGTGCCATGTCTTATGACAAACTCATTGTTCCTTTTAATTTATTGTACTCCAAGAGAGAGATATCCCATAACATGCTGATCACGTTGAAGGAAATTTCCATAAGATTTCATATTTTCTCCATTCTGCTTGCATTAGCAGATAGATAAAGAGGAAGTAGTAACAATGCAAATACTAGTTTCAAAAGGAAGATTTTAGCTACATCTCACCTCTAGTTGGAAGGTAGGGACCTCATTGTAGACTCTAACAAAAATCTCTCCCACAATAAGCTCCTTTGCATGGTCACTGAAGACAAAGTCAGATCCGTAGCTCTTGTCACAATCACCCTGTAAGCAGAGATAAGCAGCACAAGCTCAGACAGAAAATAGTCTTGTAGAAAGTGTAAAGCTATAACCCAATAATGAAATAGACAATGCTTGAACAGAAAATTTAAAGCTTTAGCAAAAGTCAGAAGCTTAAGACAGACTGAAACAAGAAATAAGCAAACACTTTGGGTTTTTGTTTTCTTTTTAAGACTACTCAAGGAAGAAAGTGACTTAGAGTAGACAACAATGGATACTTGTATTAACTCTACCACCATATTACAAGCAGCTGTACCAAAACATGAAATAGCTTTAAAAAAAAAAATAGTAGCAGGATTTAAAGTAAAAAGTATCTTACTCTCTTAATCATGCTTTCTTGTTGAGATTCCAAAAACTCAATTAATTCGGCTCTTGTCCCATTGTTCCAGATCAAGTAGGGGTTCTCTGTGTTACTGTTAAGCATCTTAAGAGTCTAGGAAATAAGGAATTTACATGATGCAACACGTTTACAACTTAGTTCTGGATCATTAGGCACAGTAATCAGTGTGTTTCATTATACAGGTTAATTTAATCTCATTAGCAATCAGACCAATTTCATAAGCAGGTTTCAAGTGTCAAGTTTTCTACATACTGGAAGAACAGTATGTGTGAGTTATTGGTACAGTACAATCTATATTTTAATTTTTCTATATTTTGTTTTGAGCAACACTTACTTCAGATTCTCCTGTTTTTGACAGTGAGCAGAAACTATCTGCAGCATCTCTTTGTAGATTACTTCCTTGGCACCATTAAAGAGGGTGGTTTAGCCTTTGCTCTCCATTATCATTATATCCTTAAGCCTTCAACAAATACCTCAACTTCTTGCTCCCATATTTGTTTTGCAAATATTATTCTATAGGGTACTGTTCCTGTCCACAGTGTTTGAGGCTGAAACAGTTTCTCTTCCTTGCAGTTACTTCAACGGCAAATAAAAACTGCACTGCAGTTCTCTGGATGAGGTTGGAGCTCAGTGTTTTAGAAGTGAGCAGGTACTCCTTCCATAAAACACTAGACAAAGGTTGGGCCAACAGAGGCTTACCTCAGTAGGACTGACCACAGCTAGTTTCCTTGCAATATAGGGTGTCAACATCCCAGACAAGCTTTTCCTGATTGCTGGGTTTTCAGGTGTAGCTTGTTCTTCAGAGAGATACCCTCCCAGGCGACTCAAGGCCAGGAGACTGAGCTTAGCAAGGCTATTTGCTACCTCCTGAAAAATACAGACAGCTATGAAAAAGTGAGAGCTTACTGAAGAAATATTAGAGTAGCTAGAAAGAATTGTCCAACACTTCTGCACCAGAATGAACACAACTGGTATTCCCTGTTTAACTGCATCACTAATTATGCACTGATGTCTAATAAAACACTGGGTGCTGCAGAACAGCACAATACAATCACTGTGTTGCGGGCTTTAAAAACACAGTTAGACATGAACACTGGTAAGTAGGAAAAACTGGGGCACCAAGATGAGCTGAAAGCTACACAAGCTATTTAATGCAATAGCTTCTGACCAAACAGCAGTTCCTGCTAGCACTGTCAGCTACCAGCATAATAAGCTTTTTATGACAGTGATACAACAGTTAATAACCACAGACTGTTCAAAGCTCATCTCATCCAGCAGCTGAGGAAAAAATGCCATACTTAGAGGGTCATCATTTAAGGAAATGGAAGTGTGAACCCACTTGCATAGCTGTGGGGCAAAGGGACAATATGGTTCTAAATTAGACATTCTGAATAAGTTCATGGTATCACCAGACACCCCCTTCAGTTGAGCCTCAAGAGAAAAGACTTTCTTCTGATAGCACAAATGTACTTTTTTTACTGTTCACTGTAAAGAAAAACCTCTTGCATTAAGTCTTAGAAACTATAGGTTTTGGCAGACGTTTGAACTCTTTAAAAAAACCCCACAAACCCCTAACAACAGTATTTACACTACTACACAAAAATCCCCTTCTAGAACTGCTCTGTTAACATTATTTTTCATGTAATTCAATGATTCTAACAGGTATTGAATATGCTTATTTTATTAATAAGAGATGGCAAGCAACAACCATTGGTGTCTGAAAGCATGCACCTTGTTTACACTACCTGGTGATTTGAATCTTCACTTTTCTGAATACCGCTCTCTTCTAGCGTGTAGTCATAGCTGAAGAGGTAACCCAGTAAGTACCAGAGAACTCCAGCTTGGAACAAGTGCGTTTGTAGCCAGTAATCTAAGGCAAAGGAGCTAACACACTCCACTCCTAAAGCAGCTACTCGTGGTATGTTCTGAGGGAAGGAAAAAAGTTCTTAGTCCTTGAAACCAAAGAAAGCCAACTGGCTTCCTCACCAAACAAAGGCTTAAGGGCAAACTTGCTAATTCCAAAGTACTAAGTGGCACAGAGATGAAAACTGAAATAGGGAGGACAACATCTGCAGTTGGAGTTAAGTGTCTGGCAGATGAGAAACACGGCTAGTTAGTCAGCATCCTTCAAAAGAAAGTACTTGAATAGTTATTTCCTGTGATTAGAAAGGAGCATTAATGAACTGGTCAAAAACCAGGTGTCAGAGATTCCCAATGAGCTTTTTATGGCAATACATGTGTTCTGCGGTAACTAAAGAACAGATAAACACCTATAATCAATTACTATAATTGGCTTTTACAGTCTTCTGCTTTCTACAGTCTTTTTCTATAGTCCTGTTCTCACATACCCCCATGCGAAAAGTTGAATACAAGTTTTCCCTTCTTAATTCAGACAAAAGTCAGCATTTATACAACATGAGGTAAGGTCTAAATGGCAAAACTTTTGAATACTTTTCTCAGAGTTTATGGTGATTCAAGAGTCTATCTGCTTATATAAGATCGAGGTCTAGTACTTTTAGCTGCTGATTTAGTACAGTAAACCAAACCGGTAGATGTAAGTCAGTTAAAAGGCAAAAGTAGCTGAATCTTTATAGTGATTGCATTTTAAGACCACTAAATGGATTCAAACAGAAGTGTTGAGAACAAGGCAGTACAGTTCTGTATCCCATAATGCTGGGATCTTACAGTCAGGTTTCATCAGTCTTTGCAATTGTCTTATCTCCCTTGAAAACAGAACACTCCCCTAAACATTTAACAGTTCAATATCCATGTAGGCAAAGGAAGGTAGCTCTTACCTTGCCATAATACAGTAGTCTACAGAGGTCCTTAATGATGTTAGGCATTTCTGTAATCTTCTCTCTGCACTCCTCAAACTGAGCTGCTACACTGTAACACCTACTAATATATCCACACACCTACAAAAAGCAATATTTTATTGGTTCCAAGTGAAGGGGAAATGCATTTTTACAATCCTTTTTTAAAAATATATATAATACTGTATCAACATTTTATATTATATATAGACATTTATTATTACATGTACATCGTATTTTTTTTATATATATACACACACACACACACAGAGTCTTCTGGGAAGCTGATACAAACAGTTAAAGCTGCTGCAACTTACCTGTACAGCCATATCATCTGGTTTACTAGAACAAGTCAAAACTGCTACGCAGCGATTAAATGCTTCTTGCAATACCTGTAAGGAAGAAATGTTTTCCTGTGAAGGTGGTGAGGCAGTGGCCCAGGTTGCCCAGGGAAGCGGTGGATGCCCCATCCCTGGAGGGGTTCAAGGCCAGGCTGGATGAGGCTTTGAGCAACCTGGGCTGGTGGGAGGGGTCCCTGCCCATGGCAGGGGGTTGGAACTAGACTATCTCTAAGGTTCCTTCCAACCCAAACCCTTCTGTGATTCTATGACTGGATGATGCATAAAGAGTGATCAGGCATTGGAACAGGCTGCCCAGGAAAGTGATGGAGTCACCATCCCTGGAGGGGTTCAAGAAACGTGTAGATGTGGTGCTTCGGGACGTGGGTTAGTGAGTTAGGTGGTGTTGGGTTGGACTTGATGATCCTTGAGGTCTTTTCCAACCTTAATGATTCTATGATTCTGTAAGTTCAGCCACAACAAAAACTGATAAAGGCTGGCAGATGTTTTATGGCTGAAGGGAAATATTTCACAAGATCTGCTGCTTGCTCAAACGGTTTATAGGGGTAAAATCCCTTGCAAGTGCTGGCACTAGCATTTGGTGCTTTAGAGTTCATAGCACATGAGCTAACATGCACAATGAAAAGCACTTCTGCTCACGTGACTTGTTCACATTTATCTATTCTTTCACATACAGAATGCAGAAGCTCACAGAGTTTTGTGAAGTAGAGAAACATGACATGTATTTTGCTTATCCACAGTTCAGGAGATAAGCCTGGGTCCAGAAAGGGGCATACTACAATAGGTTTCTCTTACTGCATCCAGAAAAGAGACAGTAAGAATGGACAAGTGTCTCAACAAGACCAAAAGTGATTCTCAGCTGCATGTCCTGTGCATCAAGGATCTGCGATTTCTAGCCATGGAAAAATTGGACTAAAAAAATTAATTACAATAAGTTTCTTTCCATTTACCTCAATTCCATTTTCTCTTCTCAGTTCTTCTGCGTTTAATGCTGAACAATTGACAGTATGGAAAGCAAGTTCTGTAGCAGCAGGTAGCAGAGGAGATTCTTTGGAAAACAAAAGGTCATCTGATGTTTCAATGGTAATAGTCTTTATCAGCATAGGATAACCTGCATACTTGTAAGGTTTCAACTCTGAAAGAGAAAAAAAGTCAAAGCTTCCAAATATGCAAAGTCTAAGGAATTTAAACCACCGCTTAATTATTAGTGGAAGATATGTCAGGTATCTAAGGACTAGGAGTCAAACAAAGCCAGCACCTGAAAGAATTGGAGCTAGACTGAGTAGTCCACACAATCTAACTCCTTGCCACATAAGACTGTTCATGCTAGAAATTGACAGAGCTTTATGGAAAGAGCTAGTTTCACATTAAAAAGACTTATCTCCAGCTCAGCAAGCCCGCAAGCTCAGAGACTTCCAAATGGTGCTTGTCTGTCTCCAGAGAAACAAGTACAGCTCTGTCCCTTTGTCTTAGGCCAGGATTGTCTAACAATAAGCCTATAAGGACTTTTTCCAGTTTGACATGGCAATTATATGTTTTAAATAATTATATTTTTCATTCCTGTAGAGTTCAGCGCTAAAGAACAATTTCATCTTGCAGTACGCAGCCAACTGAACCAACCTAAGTAAGCGTACACTAACGTTGTCACTGCCTCCACACAACTGACAGAGCTGTGATTGCTTACAAGGTTCTTAGTTTACCGTTATAATGTAGGCACCTAGGTAGCAAAACACCATTGACCCCGCAAGACTTGGACATGCCAGCAGCTGCCAGCCAGGGACTGTAGCTAGAGACAAGGGTTAGGATACTCTAGCTATCCCTCTTTACCAGTTGGACTGTGAAAGAGCGAGTGTGCTGCAACACTGTCCAGAGGGCTCTAACACTTGTCAGAATTTCTGCAGGATTACACTCATCGCTATTACGAATGAGACAATTCCATTTATACCCAGAATCTGCCACCTGGGTGACTGAGTACTTGTGAGGACTTTTCTGCATAGACAGAATTTTAAGTCTAAGATATATGGAGGAAGATGCAAACCGATTAGCACTGGTGTAGAGAATTTCAAAAAGCTATTCATGCTTTTTTGAATTAAGTTTTCCTCCAAATTAATTTATTTAATGGGAGACAAAGTCCTGTTTTGAAGCCCTTTACCATAGCTACGTAGTGCTGTGACAAGCGAGAAACCAGATCAACAGCACAGAAACTCAGGAACAGAGGAGATGAAAAATGACCGCAGTGGCCACTAAAGAAATGAAAACATTCTTCTGAGACAGCAGGCTTACCTTCCTTATGCCTGTTGAAGAGGATGCTTTGAGTTTTCAAGATCAGAATTATGTTTTCTGGATCTGGCCCATCTATCACCTTGGCAGACTTTGTGCATAGGAACTCATATGCTTTATTAACTTTTTCAAACATATCCTGCAAATAAAGATGAATAGTCTTAAGAGTTGCTAAAAACCCCTTAAATTACTAGAAGTCTGCAGCATCAGTTTAGATGCAGGTAAAAAAAAGCATTCCAGGTTACTAGCCACAACGCTGGTTTTGTTGCTTTATTACACTTCAGAAAATATTCCAAATAACGTTAAGAACACTGGTTCAGAGATCAGTTTTCTTGTGTCTCCTGAACTCTGCCTTAGGCAAGAGACTAAAACTAAGTCAATTCCACTATGACAAAAAGGAGAAAATACAGTTTGATTGTAAAAATGCGCAGAGGATGCAGTCTGTCTTTGAAAAGGAGCGATTAGCTTGTTTAGGTCCTGTGTAACTCTTTAAACTGGACACTTTCTGCCATGTGGGCCTGACCTGATTACATTAGTTTACTGTAGAAATACTAATATTCCCTGACTGACATCAGTTAAACTACTCATCTATAGTATTCATCAAGGGTATAGCTTTTAAAGGGGAGAAAGAAAATTTAAGCAGGCATTTCAGAATTCTTAACACACAAATTTATTTACACCATAAATTTGTGTTGTACATACCCTGCCTTCTGGATTCTTGTCTGGGTGATATTTTTGTGCCAGCCTGAAATAAGCTTTCCTGATCTTGCTTTCATCATGCCTATGAGAAAACAAGTCCCATCACACAGAGTAACATAAAAAACCACAGAAAAACCAAGCCTGGATTCTGACAACAGTACGAACAGTAACTGCAATTAAGTGAAAACTACAAAGCTCTCATATTTCAAATTGAAAAACCTCTTTCATCAGCTGACACTGAACCAGGGTAATCATGTGGGCACAAAATAAAAATAAATTTTAGAAATAGAAAGCATTTTAGTACCTCTTGTACTCAATATACTGACCACAAGGTGCTCAAAGTCCCTGAATCTTCTAAATAAAGAGGCTAAACGAGCTCTAAGTGGTAAAAGTTAGTAGTTAATGATTTGTAGTAAGTGCACTGTTCTTAAAGGATAAATACAGAGTGCTGTCAGTTCTCTTCTAGAGGCCTTAAGTCAGAAACCAGTGGTGAGATGGGAAGTAAAAAATCCTAAGGATATTATCACCAAGAAAAAGGACAATATTAGGCAGGGGAAGAAGAATTACTAGAGAAATCAAGTTCCACTTTGCCCATATTCAAGTTCTGCCATATTCTTCCCTCACTATGGCCAAGTCTAATGCTTGTCCTGTAAGACAGCCTATGGAATGCTTTGAAGCAGAAATCAAAGCATTTTTTTCCCCAGTTTCAGTTTATCTAAACACTTTATAATTATTCTTTCAAACACTGGAGTTGGATTTTCAAGCTTTGTTTCTTTTTAGATAAAGCAATCTTCCACTGTGAAAGAAGCAGGTGCTAGACAAAACTGAACTGGTACCACTAACTGTTTGCAAGCACTGAGATAAGAAACTTTGGTTTGTTTAGTGTACAGAGTTTATGTAAAAGTAGTTTTACAGCTTCAAATACTGAAAACAACTTACTGGCCTTGTCCTTTAGGAAGGTTAAGGACTTCATAAGCATCATCTATTGACATGGTAGGTGGCTTCTTTTCTACCTCCTTCTTCCAAGCTTCTAATGTATCTTTCAACAGTTTAACCTAAGTAATTACAATTTATTAGCGTTTCACTTATGCTGACACCAGTACACGTCATCTTTATTAAAAAAGTGCTGCTTTATTGATGAATCCTTATCAACCACCACCAAGTTCAAAGACCCAATCCTTTTACCTTTAGTGATTGTGGTTAATTTAAGACTCTGCTTCACTACAATGCTATATTTTATTCAAAATAAGAGCATGTTAAGATTAAAATGTCTATATAAAAGATTATAATCACATGAGAAGAGGGAGAATCACTGAAATGATAGGCACTTCATCTCTCAATACTACCAAAAACTGCAACAAAGCTGTATCTGTAAATAAAACTGCTTAGACAGATCCACACTATAGACTTGTACCAAAAAGATCTCAGCTATCCAGTCAATGTAGTGATACCATGTTAGCTCAGCTTCTTGTCCAGTGTGGACAAATAAAAACCCAAAAGTGACACTATCCCCCCAACACTTGAGATTCCTTGAAACACTACCTGAAGCTTCCTAGATGCTTTATTTTGCTTTGTCAGTAGTCACCTCTAGGAAGATACACTTAACATGTGATTGCTGTTTAGCATGAAGACCATTTGGCTTCAAAATAAAGAAAACTTTAATGTATTTGCTTATGAACTGAAAATCAGGATCAATCAGTTACTTGCAAGAAACCTAGCACTTGATTTCCTTAATTTTTGTTACAAATCCCACTTCTAGGATTCTGAAAGGTCAAGAACCAAATGAATCCTAAAACACATCTTACTTACTGGGTCTTTAATTGGCCAGTCTGGAAATCTGAGTATATCACAAAGATGCTTGAGGTAGTAAATATTACAGAACAGCTCATTTTCCAGTTGTGGATAGTTGATAACTGGGATAGGACAGTATTGGTAGAGTGCTCTTGTATTGCTTTGAAGACGAGGGCTGAAGTCAGCAAGATGAGCAGCAATCTTCTCTATCATAAGACGCCTAGAAGTGACAAAGTTTGATTTAACACCTGCCAAGCAGTCCTCAGTCACTGTACAAGTACATTCAAGGATTTCTTCTGAAAAAGAAGTCTGACTGTCCTCAGTATAGGATAGGATTCAGTCCTAGTCTGTTATAAAGCTATTTTAATGCCATGAAAGTTATTCATTAAAAACAATGTGAAGTGACATTCTGCCCTGTCTCAAATTTTCTTTACTTTTTGAATTTTGAAAGACCCTAAAAATGTATTGTAATATTAGAGGCATATCTCCTAGATAGGTGCTGTGATAAATAAGCACCGTCAGTATAAAGCAGTCCGCATAAATAGTGAAGTCTCCACTCATGAAAGGAATTTATCAAGTATGATAGAGGCAGATGTAAAGCATGCTGTCAGATGTTCAGGGAAATATTCCCTTTCCCACTGCCAATTCCTTTACCCCCTGCCCTTGTTATTTTTGACAGAAGCAGAGGGCAATGCAGGACATAGCCCTTGCAGAAGGCAAACAGAGAGAAGTAATGAAACCATAGAATCCACGTATTCTTAGCATTCTTTAGAGATGTCAAAGACAAGACCTCTTCAGCACAAGACGTAGTTCAGGTTTATTTGTCCCTCTGACAGAAAACAGTTACCTCATTTCATTGCTCCAAATTGCTTCTGGAGTGTCAAATTCTCCAAGGAATATCTCAGAAAATTTCTCCGGTTCATAGTTTTCTAAATAACACACCATTGCTTCAGGAAGAATATGTCCAAGTATACTTCTTTGAACTATATCTTGACCTTTTGTCTACAGAAGAGATCACATTGTCGTCTCAAAGGTAATCTGAATTCAGCCTTGCTAACCGACCTGAGATCTAAAAAGCCTTCCCCCTCTTCTCTTATACTCCTTAAATTCTAACTCTCAAGAACTTAAAAAGCACAAATTAAGTACTGTTAAAACAACTAGAGATGGTCTGCAAAATTATTTGAAAACAGAGATAGTTGCTTTTATTATCTACTCACTTCTTCAGACTTGAAAGCTTGTTTTGTATGTGTGTATTTCAAAAACCTGGAAGAGAAACAGCAGTTATTTTCTGTTTAACGGATACTTAAAGACACCATTGAAAGATAAGCAGACCAATGTAGCCCAGCTGGCAGATCTCATACTTTAACTTTGAGATAAAAAGAGTAACAGCAGCAATTGAATGAATCTCTGTACAAAGTCCATCAAATCCTTGGGAACTCCACTAAGTTAAGCACTCCCATGTTATAAATGTTGCCTCGTTATGTTCGTCATTTCAGTTTGAAAGTCTTGTCCTGAAAGCTTGTTTTCTCCACACACACACAGAAAAGTAAAGCTGTTCCCTACAAACCTCCCTGCACCATTAGATCATCACTGCAGGGATGAAACAAGGTGATCTTACACTAACTGACAACAGTCCTGTGACCCTGGAGGCATCACATAAACATGTAATCATTTCACAATGCTTTCTGCTATAGAGGAGACTTGACTGGAAGGGTACAATAGCTTTTCATGAGCTACTGAATCTAAAGGAAGAGTACTGGAGTAAACTGCAGTAGCCACTTGCACGAGCAGTGCTTCTGTGTCAGGCAGTACAGACTGATTTAACTGGTTTGGACTTCAACACTCAACCAGGCTATTAGATTTTTCCATCACTTCCGGTAGCTGCTTACTATCCAAACCTATATTAGCATATCAGTACCCTACATTACTGCTCTTTAGTACCTGTAACTATTTGTTCTCCAACAATAAGGCAGGCCTGGTTGTACTGTTAGCTTTGTATGATCAGACATGCTCTTGTTCCCTCCTTCGCAGGGCTGTACGCAATCCACATTTTTTTTTTACTGACTGACTAGGCCACATGGAGGTGATTCTTCCAGAGCTTGTTTGCTTGCAATCTCATGTTGGTTCTAGCAAGCCACAGTCCCTGAAGCATTTAGAGCAGCAGACCTTTTGAGCATGACTGGTCAAGAGGTACTTTTAGCTACCCTTTTTCCTCACCTTGCGATAGGAAGTACATTGGAACCCGTGTACATCATGATAAAGAAGAACACTCCACTCAGATAAAAACGAGGTAACTGAGGGTTATCTTGCATGACATGAAACAGCAATATAGCGACTTTTTCCACAAGGGTAGGATCAAAAGTCAGTAATAGCTGAAATCAAACACAAGCATTTACATTAGCTGCTTGAGTAGTGCAAGTTACCTAGCCAAAATAGAAGTTTTAACTAATTCAGTATTGGGACATGGCAGTAAACTTATAAGAATTTCAGTTACAGAATACTTCAGCCCAAAAATAACAAGTTCAAATCCCCGAATGTTTAAAGTTGGAAGGGACCTCTGGAGGTCATCTTGTCAAACCCCACTGCTAAGAATCAGGGTCACCCAGAGCTGGTTGCCAAGGACTACGTCCAGATGGCTTTTCACTATCTCTAAGGATGGAAATATTTATTAAATGAGATATTGGCTGAAACAACATGAAATTTGTAACACCCAGTGAAATAAACAACTGCTTGTCCAGAGATCTGCAGGTAGTTACAGATGTTATTTGATGTGTTTATCCCACTTAAAGTATTCAAACAAGGAAGATGGTAGAGTGAGTCAGACTTGTACTCAGATACATTTTTGAAGAGTTGCTTACCTGAGTGATATGAGGAAGGCAAGTACTATCTGACAACAGCCTTTTCACTCTAGGCAGAGGTCTTATAATAGCATTGTCTTGATCCCTAAAAAAAAATAAAGTGGCACAGCAGTAAGCACACATGTGCCTTTTCTCTTTCAAGAATGAACAACTTGATTAAGCCATATGTATTAGGCTATCGAGATCATATCTCGTCTTTTTTGTTAACTTCAAAGTTTGTTGTTAGACTTCGTAAGTGTGGTTTAATGTCATGTATTAAAGCAGCTTTGTTTTTAAGTTAAAAAAGAGCCTGCCTGCAAGACTACGCTGCTGTGCATTAGAAACGCACATAGCTTGTGCATTCGTTCTTGCAATCCTTTTCACAAGATTAGTGTTGTCTCATTTACAAACTCTATTTGCCCATGGAATTAATATTATGTAAAAGATCTTTAACAGAAAAGTAGTTCATTAGTGTACTACTTGGTTTCTAAGAACAGCTTTCAGATAGAATTTATGAATCTGACAGAGAAAGTTAACCACGTCTGCTGAATATCAGTGTTTACCTGCTGGGAAAATATCCACACATTGTGATGAGCATGTTGAGTACGAGTGTGGCAAGGTCAGTCTCATTCAACACAGGCTGGCCACTGGCAAGCAGGCACCATTTCAGCTGAGGGATGACCTGTAATGGTCGCCAGCCATCCATACCTTGAGCCCAGCAACGTGTTTTTGAAGTCAGCTTTCCACTGTTCCATAGTTCCTGCATCTATTGCAAGATTAGAGATGAATTTAGTTGATTCAGCACTTGGACTCCTAAACAGTCACGCTCAAAACAAGCTTTTAACTGCCATATGGCAGACTGCTATAGTTGCATGAAATTCCAACATATTTATAACTCTGTCAGGAAACATGAAGTAAAAGTTGACAGATTAATGGCAGCATAATTGGGGCATGGAGGGGTAAGTGGCCTTACCAAAAAGGCTGCGGTTCTTGGCACAATGTCAAGTTTCTTATTTAGCTTTAATCCTTAAAGAGTTACTTTGAGAAAATAGTTTAGCATTGTTTTCAGTTTTCCCTCTCACTGTTTGAAATACATACAGTCACCAGGATAAAATTAATTTGTCAAGTTTGAAGCTGACAGGTACCTCTTGAAAGCTGTAAGGACCACTCCTTTCTTTGTCAGCATTGCCAAAGTACCATTCCTTCTCGCTCTCCCTCTTCATATCGGGTGCTGCCTCAATCACATTGCTCTAGAAGTTGATGTTTATAAGAACAGCTTTAGCTTCAGTGCAAATATCACATTTCTATAGGAAATGTGAAAAGGACATTTTTTTTTAAGAATTGTCCTTTTAGCAAAGCAACATATGAAGAGTAAGAAACAAAAGCCACATACCTGCAGAGGGACTGTTGCTCTGCTTGTGTGAAGATGTGCCAGAGTAAGCAGGTCTACAAGGATTCTAACACCATTTGAATCCATAAGGTCCTTCACGTTTTTCTGTTAGTTAATGAACTGAGTTAACAAAAGCATTTTCTAGACAAGAGGCGTTACAAGTACTGAACAGTTTTATTCATGTAAGAAGTGACCAGAAGAAAAGTCAAATCATTCTTGAAAGTGACTAGAACAGTACTCTCACAATATCTACACGTTTCCTTCAGCTTTCTCACTAGTACATAGCAACTAATATATCCCAGAAAGCTGAATCAAACATTGTTTTAAGACTTCCTCAAGACTTGGATTTTTGCTCAAGTTAACCCTGAAAGACCAGCTCAGCCCATTTTATACAGCTGAAAGACCAGTCAAGTACTTTTAAGCGTCCATGTCCTCCTTACCTTATTAAGGATCAGCTTGTTGAGAAACAGTATCAGCCTGTCCCGCTCAAGCCTGTCAGTGCACTGTTGCAGAAGAGAACAGATCAGTATTTGATAGCACATATTAGAAGCTACCTTCAAAAGTCAATATAGCTGCACCTGTAAAGACCCATTTACTTGTTTTCATGCCCAGGATAACACTGCTGACTATTAATTGTCCATGCTGTTGTTAGCAAAGAACCCCTTCTTCAGACTGCACGTAAACATCTTTTTGCAAGCTGTATCTGTTGACAGACATGACCTAACAGAAGCGTCATAGAAAATCTAATCCATCAGATGTGCCCATCTAAAGCTACCGTTTCATTAGGTCTGGCACTTTTGGTGCTAAAGTTAGTGTTTTAAAATAAGGTGACATGGAACAAGGGTCTCCTCTTAAAAAGCTTTACACTTCTGCCTTTTTCAAAAGGAGGCAGAAGATTAATACCACACAAAGTTCCTTTACACTATTTCTGTAGAGTCTGAAAACCTGCTAAGGCCAAAAAAATGCAGCTATAGAGACTAGTTTGAAATACCAGGTTTTTAGTGAAACTTCAACTGAATCAAGGGGCGATACTAGGAAAACTTGGTGACAGCATGGAAAAAAAGTATTCATGCTGCAGCTTCACGTTATGTAAAGCCAAAACTTGGGTTTTATGCTCAGATCCTTCAAGTTGCTATATCTTGGACTAACCATATGTTAACTACTATCAAGTAACTTTAAGTAATTCTTACCCTTTCTAACATCCCAACAATGTACTTAGTATCAGAAAATGGTCCTATTTCTTCATGACATCTTCCATAAACAATGGCCAGTGCTTGCAGACATAAGCATTTCATATTCACTTTTGGGGTAAGCAAGAAGCGATGGTAGAGTTCATTGAAGAATTCATATCTAAGAAAGAGATGAGATTTTAGTGAAGAAAACAAACAGAGACCACAGGAATGAGATAGGATTTGAATAGTGTCTCACGATTTTTTGATTGCTCCACTCTCTTCAGTTTCATCTTCTTCCAGAAGCAATCTTAAATAATAATCCCCTATTTTTATTTCTTCAGAAAGGCACTCATATTTTACCTGTAACACAGAACAAGTTACTTAACAGTAAACACTGTTTCTCTTCAGTAAGTTTTTGCTTGCATAACACTACCATACTTGCTTTCATCCATAAACTCAACAAGGTTAGCAACCCCTTCTACCTTCTACAGTCTCAGGAAGACCAAAATCTGCACTTTTGCTGTTAAAGGAATAAACATCTACAGAATATATGCTATAAACTATTGTTGCTCCCCAGAACAAATGAAGTTTCTCATCCTACTGAAATCCCAGCTTCCAGCCTTTAAGTAACTTGTTTCTAATATCAGCTGGTTTTATGAACTGAACTTGGATAACACATGATGTACTCAGTGACTCAAGATTTAATAAGTAGTTATTCCATTGCAAAGTGTTTCACTCAATGCTAGTACAGGTATGAAACACAAGCATGCCTTAATTAGTGGCTATACTTGCTATTATGCTGGGTAATAAGAGCCTAGAGGCACCACTATACACACCAAGAAGCTGAAGTGACGTTGCACAATAAGAGCCACCATTAACTTCAGAGCAACTACATTAAATTTAGCCATATGCCTCAATGCCCAGTGATTTTAAGCATTTAGCAAGCACCTCATTTAGAGGTGCCTCTAACACACCACAAAAGCAGCTCTTTACAGTGGTCTTTCTTATCTATAGTTTGCAGGTCACTGGCATGAGGCCACAAAGTTATCTCCAGATTTGACCATAGCACACAACACAAAGACATCCTGCTAATGAGCACACTTCCAGAGCAATCTCAAGTCACCATGCCCCTTTGTAAAGTGACAGCTTCCACAGCTGACAGAGGAGCCTTTGTCACCACTACATAGTTAAACACTTACGGCATAGCCTGCTACACTGTTCACTTAAAATACGTAAAAGCAAATCTCTGAGACAGCAGCTGCTCAAGGATCACATCACAGAAGCCCGCTCAAGCCAGTCGCAAAGTATCCTGGGCTCTAACTGCAAGAATGCTAGTAACACATTCCAGCAGCGCGAGCCACGGGAGCCCAAAGTGTGGGTGGGAAGGCTGTATTACTAGATTTCAAGTCTGTATTTTTGATTGTGCCCCGGTTAGCACCTCTGAAGTACAGAGAGTTGGGATAGCAGACACTGTGCTGCCTGACCCATACCTGAAGGAAACTTCGAAAGCTAAATGCTAGTGCAAAAAATACCAACCTAACCCCCAACTTAGCTATTTACTGCATCAAGGTAAGACGTAATCTGTAGCTGTGTGACAAGGATAAGTTGCACACATAAAATAGTTTTCTCATAAAGCACTATCCCAATGTCTCACAATTCTTTCCGATTTGACAGAGCAGTCAGCTGAGAATTCCTCAAAAGCAGCAGTTTACTCTTGTTTCACTAGCAGTCCTCTGCTCAATTTTCAACTAGAAAGCTGTACTGTGACAAGGATGGCACTGGGAATATCTAAGAATATCTTAAATTCAAGTGCGGCCTTGCTCTGCTTTAGCGTTACACATTAACTAAAACTATGTGGAACCACAACAATAGTGGAGATAAGAGTAGAGTACAGGAAGTGTTTATTAGCAGGTTACTTGAAAACACCTTGGAAGTTGTTTTGAGAAAGTCACCTTGGACCACACCAACTGCTTTGCAGAAGCCTGAAAGGCTATTCTGACTACAGGTACTGCTCCTCCTAGAATGTGAAAACAGTACAGAGCTTCATGGTTTTAGCCACATAACCTCTCTATGGTTTGGCAACCCAGTATTTAATAGCCTTAAGATCACTGAGACATGATGGAAATAAAGACAAGGAACTTGCCACCAGGAAGAAGGGACTTAAACTACCCCAAACAAGTCTGATGGAGCACATTCAAGAACAAGTATGACTTATCTTGACAACAACATCAACTTTTCTCTTTTCCTCTTAATGCAAGAGCACATCAAGGTTTCTGATCAACCTTTCATCTCTCCAGTGTCACCTGTCAGGCTGCAGAGGTTTCAGTTTTGCAGACTGACCCTGGACAGTAGTACCTGTTCACAGCCTCAAGCCTTAGTTTATTCCATAACCCTGAAGGAATTCTAGCTTGCAGTCAGGGATTGCCAACGCAAGATTCACTCATATTTAGACACAGAAAAGTAGACATTTTACATATGCAGTTTCTCCTACAGTGGGTCATTTACCTCAAACTCCTGATGGTTCCATGAGATAACGTTAGCACTGCCAAGTTCTCTGTCAATATTAAATGCTCTCATCTCAGACTCAAGAGTATCTCTCAGTTCTTCCCGTGTTTTGAAGTTCCAAATCAAGTTTGATCTAGCATGGTCTTGAAGAAATCTAAGAAAGAAGTTACATACTTTAAACTCCCCAAACATTATCTGAAAGGCAGACAAGACTCAGCTGGCAAGCTCAAGAAGACTACCATTAGTGGACCTTAATTAGAAGGCACTGAGAAGCGGTCTCTAGTTTGTTGCAGTAATTATGGTTGCTCACTTGTACAGTATTTTCATAGTCACGGAGGTCAGCATAGACTAAAGCATGCCTGTTGTCATTGCTTTGGGCTCAATTTTTTTATCTGTATATAGCTGATGACCAGGAGATGTGCAAGCCATTCATCACATCTGCCAGTAAGGGCTACAAGTGAACAGCAACCCAGGGCAGCAGATATGCACACACTAAGTGTATGTTTTAAACAAAAAAGTTGATATCTCAAGTGTCACACTACAGTCAGGGGACATTCTTCAGTGGCAGTTACAAAAAAGCCTCTGGATCCAGAGACTGGCTGAGAACAGCACTTTAATACTTCTAGTTTAGGAGCATGCAAATCTTTCCTTCATGAAACACTTGTGCAGAATGGACTATATTTGACCATTAGAAACATTAAGCACCAAATCAAACAGTTAAGTTTATGGAACCTTCTCCAAGATCTTTCTGAGAGTTTGCTGAACAGTCAAGCTTTATTAGTTCATTTAATATAACACCCTTAGCCAAAGTAAAGTGATAGTATTTTTTCAGATGGAGGTGCCTCCCTTGTAAACTTTGACAATTGTAAGAACTCACCGTTAAGCAAGCTGCATTTACGACCTGTTGCACCACGTTTTCTCTTTGTCTGCCTTAAGCTCATTTTTATTCCAATTAAAACATCTTGAGTAGCTTAAAGGTAGACATATCTACACACCACAATATCATGCAGATCTGCACCTGCTGTTTGCTATTCACTCCTCCTTTTGATTCAAGGAAAAAAAGTACATATTCTGATAACATTTGAGAAGCTTTCTAAAT